AACCTTGCAAGAGCACTGAACAACCTATGCCCAGATGGAAAACCAGCAAACGCCAGTAAAAGGCAGAAGAAATAAATTATTTTCCCACCTGCCTTTCTATTTTGCTAAATTACTTCTCTTAGTTTGCTCAGCCATGTGTTCCAAGTGGTGCGCTTGAACAAAGGGGGCTGGGGCTTCTGCTCACAGCATGACTGCTACCGGGGCTGGGCTTCCCCAAGAAGTCCAACAGTGATGCCTGACCTGGCGCCCAGTAGCAGTAACCTCAAACAGGAGAACCGGCATCTCCATTGCCTCTGGGGATGGATGTGGTGTGATGATCAATCCATCTTCTGTGCAAAACACTTCACAGACGATCACCATCTGCTTCTGTCCCAGGCAAAACACTTCACTGACATCTGATGACAAAATCAAACCAATCCAGGCACCCATGCCTGAAATCCCAAGGTTGTTCCCTTGCTATGGACCCAGCGTGTTATCAGCTGCTATGATCTTCCTCACCCTGTTAACTCTTGCTGATGTGCTAGGGAGATCAATGCCCCTTCTTGGGAATCAGGGTACAAATGCTCAGGCAAAAGTGTGTCTTTTAATATCAGCGGTGCCACTCCAAGCACGATCCTCAAACCGAGTATCATTTCCCACTGGGATTATCCCCAGTGAGATAGGGGAAGGCTTAACTGATACCTGGAGGCTCTTTATTATTTACATTATTAGGACATTATTAGGGCAGCTTGCATGCACGGGACTACTCAGCCCATGTGAGAGAGGAACACTCAAGGGCAGAGGCAAAAAGTTGTTAGACATAAGATCACTTTATCTGAAACCTATTGAACCTTGCAGCACACAACTTTCATCCTTCTATAAATAGATCTCAACAAAATAATGAAGTAGTATGAAAGTTAAGTGGGGATATAAAACTCCTTTTAAAAGTTGAATGGTTTATTATATATACAAACTACAGATATCTACCTGAAATCAAAATTATAATATCATTAGTGAGTCAGAGAGAAGATGAAAAAGTCCAATTTTAATGCAACACATATCATGGTATTACCATAATTCAAGAGCGCATTTCCTTTTTTTGTTACTTATTCTGTTTTCAAACAAACAAACAAACAAGATGTGGGGTCTGCTTATGGCACTGATACAAAGAGCAGAATTTAAAGGCTGGCCTTATCTCCATCACTTATCAAGTAAGTTGAATTTACAGTGTTAACTAAGGATGTAAAACTGTGAACTGGGAAATGGATAGCGTGTGTAATTTTGGTGCTCTCTAGTAAATGATCAAACCTTGAACTTTCTGGGAAGCAGAGGAAAAGCCCTTTAGTGCTAGCAGGCACACAGCTGGGCCACGAGGAGCTTCAGAATGAAACAGTTTCACTTATTTCCGGATCAGAAGCGATGTGTGTGCACCCTTCCACATCACTGAAATTCTTTCATTCACGTTTCCAAAGTGATATTTCTTTTATTACCCAGTTAACACCTTCTCCCGTATTACAGAGAGTGTTTGACCAGCTCCTCATCACTCCTGCTGAGACCTGCATGGGGATCTCCTCTTTTGGCCAGGGTGGCCCAAGGCCACCTTCCTCGGAGCAGGATACAGGGAGTCCGGTGAGATGGTTAAATTCACGTTACTAGTGAAAACCTTTGCACTTGCAACTGTGCAAAGTCTGAAGTCTTGAAACAACATCAAGATTCTGCCAGCAAGCTCAAATCTATGATTTATTTTCACTTTCAATTGTGTGGATATTTCTGTTGCCTACATTTCTATTTTCAGCCTCAGCCCAGTGCTATCACAAAACTCATTTTTGCAAGCCAAGCACTTCACAGCACCCACTTTTTCTCTGACTGAACACAAAAAGTCTTGCTCAGGTTACATTTGCTAAAACACGGGACAACTGGCTGTGATGTACTTTAATCTGGAACAAAGAGGGCTTTGGAAAAGACCCATTCATAAAGCGATTGTCAACAGACAGGAGGATTCTGTTATGTTCCCCTGCTTAAAAACCTAATCATAGGTTTAGGCTTGTGCAACCTGCCAAATTCATAGCTCAATGAGCAAAGAACCTCTATTATATATTTTGCCGTCGGCATTAACATTTCAGGAAAATGGAATGCAAAAGCTACTAAATTAAGATAAATTACATGCTTTTTACTTCCTATTTTAAATTCTGATTCAGGAACTGAATTCAGGGTTCTTTACATGGGATGCATTTAAAAATTTCTTCAGTCCAACTGAAGCAGGATTTTGGAAATGCAAACTGACCAGCCTGCACTTAAGTGCTGCTTTGAATTTGATACTTAATCACATACAGAAATGCACAAATTCTTTTGTGATACTTAATAGAGAAGGGAGGGTGAATTTACTTAGCCTGTTTCATCCTCTTGAAAATGTCATGGGATTTCATCAGGCAAGTGACAAGTAAGAGCCAGAAGACAGCAACAATATACTTTGGGTGAGTTCTTCTCTTTCATTCCATGTTCAGTTTATTCCTGTGGCTGGCGCATTTCTAAATTCATTTATGAAGTAGAAATGGTTACGCTAAAATAAGCTAGATACATACCAAGAGTACTTTTCTTTCTCCATTTAATGCAACCTTCTGGAGAAAACTCAAGTGAATGGGCAAGCCCTGTTGCATGCACTGGGGAGGGTGGAAATCCAACAGCAATTCAGCGCCCTGAACAGACTCTCTGGGGAGTATCAATTCTGTCTCTGCCTTGACAAAAAGAATGCAAGCAAAGACTCCCCTGGGCCAGCTGTATCTGCATCAAAGAGAACAAACAAAACGTAAACAAGGCCCAGACCTGCTGTACGCCCTCTCAGCTACAACCCCAGCAAAGGGGGGCACGCAGCCCAGCTGTAAGGCACCTCCCTCCCCAGCCTGCGGGGAGACGCTGCCCAGTCCCCCAAAGCACCGCGTGCTGCAGACATCCGGCTGAGCGGCAGCCGCAGCTTCTTCCTAAAGACTTTTGGATGCTGGGGAATAAACACAGCACCCATTGCCTTACTGAGCGCTGACGAGCCATGTGCCTGCAAAAGAAAAGTGCCATTCCATCTCCTTTCCAAGCTGCTTTTTTTTAATGTTCATTATTTCATCTGTTTCACATCCTATTATAAATGCAGACTTGTTAAACGTCACCTGAGAAAGCTGGGCAGGGGTGAGGTGTTTGCACTCTACAGCAGCACAAAGTCACCTTGCCTATCCCAGCTCAGGTACTTTTGTCCTTGGAGGACAGTAGAGTCCATAATGTTCCTATTTTCCATCTTATGAGCCTGTTGCCCACCCAGTAACTCCAGGATGAGGTAGGTTTGTGAGTGTCTTTACATCTAGTTGGTCAGGCCCCAGATTTGCTTACTAGCCTGCTTACTCAGTGAACCGTGCACAAAGTACTCATTGCCTTTCTTTATTCCTTGGGCCCATAGTCCGAACCACCACATAGCCCTCAAGGTGCTTGTGCAGGCAGCCACATTCAGCACTAACCAAAATTTCTAAGGATATATCTGCAATGTGTAAGGCAGTACAAGCAAAAATCTACAAGTTAGCTCCAGAAATGGAAGCAGAACAGTCTTATTGCCCAGATTTTGCAATGTGCTACTCAATGCTGCTGACAGATTCATAGGGCTCTGCTGGGGGCTTCACCGGCTGCTCCCTCTGCGTTCTGGTGCAGCACAGGGCACAGATTCTGCACCAGCTCCCAACTGCCTGGGCAAAATGAGCCCAAGCATCCCGCATGTGAAGTTGTTCGCACGTGACTGCTTATGCACTGAATTCAGCAGCTCTTGTTCCTATGCCAAACAGGCAGCACAGAGAGTTTAAAATGATAATTAAAAAATATCTTAAATGAATTGATTAAACCAAATCCAATTTCACTGTGGACTGTATTACCTAGAGAACCGTACCAGGCCTGTGGCAAAATAAAATTTGTTTCTAACAGATATTCTTGCTATATTCATGAAGAGAGAAGGTATATTTCCCCTATTTTTTTTTTGCTTTTTTCAATAGCCTTTTTCAATAGCAAGCTTCTTCAAAAGTGGCCCCTGCAGCACCCAGACATCCAGTATCACATTGCACTTCTAAAGCAGGCAAAACCCAAGAGAAGTTCAAGCACCTGGAACATGCTTTTCCTTGCAGCACAGCACTGACAGTGACAACCGCTTTATAAAAGAAAAGTTAAATGTTAAATCTTTGCAAGACTGCAAATAAAAATTCAAGCAAAAAAGGCAATACAACAGATGGAAGTGGTCGTACAATTCTTCTGACCTTGCGCCAAATGTCTATGTTATAAATCACATTGGAAGAATTCCCCCCAAAAGGTTTTTCTTCACATAATCCCTGATATTACAGAGTCATCTTGCTACCAGTTTTCCTTTTCTTCCTTGTTTTACTGCTACTTTATTTATCACTTTTTATCAAAGTGATATAAAAGTGTCTTCTTTTATGTCTGCTCCTCATTTGCTATGCCTTCAGACTTGCTAGCTCAGTACTAGCAGCAGTCCGACCGTGGCAGAGTACAGTACAGGCTATAAAGCCTGCGCGGGAGCCGTAAATACCTTGCTGTTAGCCTGCCTTCAATTCTGCGCTGCTTCACTTAGACCGCTACTAGAATTTAAGCGAGTTTAACTGCAGCAACTGCAGTGTAGACATGCCATTTGTACTGGCTGGGTTTTCCTTCCAGAGTCTTTGCTAATGCTATTTTCTACTTTGTTTACACAGCGGTTTTATAGTACCATTTGTCTGTGTTACCGTCACTATTGGAATATTGATATGTACACAGCAAAATGCTTCAGCATTGGAACTGGTGGTATTCTGAAAAATGACTACTTCTTTTGGTCACTGACCAACTGCAACGAAAGACTTCTATTTCCCAGTAATCATTTATTATAGTCAGGCATGCAGGCCAGGTAAATTAATTTGAGTATCCTCTTAAAAATCCTAAATGAAAATTGGAGTAACACTATTATTCATTAAGACACACTTAAGATCGTGAGCCGCATTGCTTACCTATGGATATGGTCCAAACTGCAGCAATTTTCATAATAGCCTTGGTGCGGGAATTGAAGCGGCTGTGCTCAATGGGATTGCGTATTGCTACATACCGATCAAGAGAGATGGCACAGAGATGCATAATAGATGCAGTTGAAAAGAGCACATCTAGGGAAATCCACATAGGGCACAACTGTTTAGGCAAAGGCCAAGCATAATCTGAAACATAGAGAGAAAAGAAATGAAAGGAAAAAAGAAAAGGAAATAATTTGGGAAGCTAGGCCATAATTTCTGAGAAACTCTTGGGATACTTTAAGTCTATGATACCAGTAAGGGGCACATGCATGAGGGGTGGACAAAGAAACCTCTCGGGGGGCCTCTCTACGGGCAGTTCCTGGCTCCAGACACTCCATAAACCTGTAGCCAGTTCCCACACATCTGTTTTCCATGACCAGTAGCTGAAGGCAAAGGAACATAAATTTGACAGTGCCTCCCAGTGACCATTCTAGCTCTGTTCCTCTCTCTTAACTTTTCCCTAATATCTTAAAAAAATCAGATATTACATTCATTTATAATTGCCTCATCACATTCTTTTCATGGCTTGCATAGCGCTGTGTGGCATTACCTTCACCCAGATCCTTTCTAAAGCTCCCTGGGTACGTACCTCCCAGTTTCTGTCTGCTGAGGAGGAAGGTAGCAGGCAGTTTTTCTATGCAGTCTAACAACCAGCTAAATGACACCACTTCACCTTAAATATTCTCCTCAGGCAGTGTGCCTTAATAACAGAGGAATATTTGCCTCCTCACAGAGCAGCTGGGTTGAGTGGCTGAAATATGAAAACTGTTGTGAGGGTAGACAGAGCTGAGTATGATTCTTCACAGAAACACGTATGCCAGCATACTGAACAGGCTGGATAGCTACATCTGACAGCAGCTGGCACGCAGCTAATTTGGGTGCCTGCATGTATTAATCAGTTTACTCAGTGCTGAAGTACAGCTTGAGAATAGAAGTGACCCAGAAAGATCCTCAAGGGGCACTGGTATTTAAATTAAAGCTCAGAGAAAATTGATTTGTGAATGATACTCCCATGTTAATGCCCAGAATGGATTACATGAGATCAATAACATGTCCTGCCAAGCTCTGGGCTTCTAACACACTTATCAAAACAAATCAACAGTATCTACAGCAGCTGAAAACATGAGAGACTTCATAATAGTTGAATAATGATATATTCTCGTGTCTTCAGTCAGAACACGGATATCTAAAGCAATCTTGAAGTTTACCCCAAGGATCAGAAACATCACTCTGCAGAATCAACGTTATATTAAGAACAATGCAGCTCCATCCTACTGATCTCAAATGGAAAGGGAGAAACGTTAGTCTCAGAAAGCATATTTTGAAACAAATTACCCAGCCAAGAGAGACCCAGCATACCTTACGTGCAGAAACCCGAGATGAACTGAACCAGAGCAAAGTCTTATGAATTCTCCCAGCGAAGCCCAGGAACCCTTCACAAAGAGCACGGGCAGAATGAGATGGACACATCAGCTCATTTTACCAGTGGGAAACCCACAGAAGAAGTGCTAACTCACGCATGACACACACACAAGACCTCATCTCTGGGGAGATAAACCATTTATTTTAGCAAGTTCGTACCACCCCTACTAGATGGACTGTAAGTGGACTGAAATCCAAAGCAGCAAGTATTTAAGAGGTCCTTATCAAAGGGAACTAAGTAAAGTGCTTTGTGGCTGGAGCATCTTTACTTTAAAAGGCACCTCTGCTGTACAAATGAATTGAACATGTTTAAGTTATGACTGCCCCTTTATGAAGCTACAATCAATTTCTGCACCTCCTGCTCTCGTTCACATTTTACAGTAGCTTAGGACATCGTTGCCATCAACCTGCAATTGAGCTCAGAGCTCCAGCTAAGCACACCTCTGATTTGCTGGGTCTTTAATGATGCCTCAGTGAATGCTCCAGGGAAGAACAAGTCTGATCCCCTTCAAGTGGTACCTGTGCTCCCTGTACAGCCCCAGGCTTTTGCTGCCAGCCTAAGCTAAAGCACATTCAGTCACTCTTTATCCCTTGTTATTTCTCTCTCTGAGTTGCTAGAGCCAGCTTCCAGCTTTCTGATAGAGGCTGGAATGAGCTATGAGCACAAGACCTGGAGAAAAGCACTGGGGAGTGTGCCCCGATGGATGAAGCGGTCCCTGTGAGGATGCATGGGGCGATCGTGACTGCAGCAGCCTCTGCCCAGAGGGATGGTGGTGGTGATGGTGATGGCTGCTCCCCCCACCAGGCAGACGGCCAGGAAATCTCCAGTGTCTCCAGAAAGGGACGCCAGGCCTCCAGGCTCCCTGTGCGTGGGAACATCTCTGATCTGATCTATGGTGCTGCGGTGGATACAATCTGATTCTTGACATTTCCTACACCTGGAAGAGGTTTCTACAGCAACCACCTTTTCAGCATTATTGAATGATGAATAGTCTCTCTTACTTTTTCCTCTGAGCTACTTGAACACTTCCCATGACTGCTTCCCCCTGGAACTTCTGCTATTGATGTGAACTAGGCAATGGCATTACAACCGAAAAATTAACAAAAGCAAAAGTGACAGTAAACGTTCATACCCACGGTGTGAGGTTAGTAGATGTCGCCTGCTGTCAGCCCCGGCACTGCAGGAACTACAGCCACCAACAGATCAAAGTAACGCTGCCCAGAATTACTGCCCTGGCAAACTGTCGGGATGTCTTTAAAGATAAAGGTGATAGGAAAGCCCTCCTGATAGCTCATCCTTTTAGTCTGTACTGTGCCAGGGCACTCTGTTATGCTTCTACCTGAAAAGGCAGTTATATGAGGAGACATTTTACTTTCTCAGGAAGTTTCCTAAAATGATCAGCGATAATAAACTATCCCTCTGGAAATTTGTAGAATGGCAGCTTGTAACACATGACTATACCTTGATAGGAAGGGCATAATACATCTACTATCTCAAAATGCAATTACTTTTAAGTAAGCATGGTGTGTGCATTTGGAACACACCTACACAGCCTATAAAGCCAGTAATTTGTATAAAAAGAGAAAAAGTTCCTTCTAATTCTGTTTCAAATAAATGTACAAAACATAGGAAATGTGCCCTGTGACTGTGCCAAGATGCAAACGAGGGTTAAAAAACCCAATTCTGTTAGCGATGTTATACCTTTAAAACAATCTTATCCTCAGAAATAATCTATCTGCAGAAGGTAACATTTCTCCGATTTGATTTTGTCTCATTTCATATACAAAGAATAGTGGTTACCATATATTTAGAAGTGCAGATGACTGAGTGAAATGAATTCTTGAAAACCAGCACTTCTAAGTTTGAGTAATTGCATTTCAATGGAAAGCATGCACCTAGGTTGAAATTTGGCTCCAGAAAGAATGAAACAGTACTAAACCCCTGGGAAAGAAAAATCCAAATTCTCTGTAAGAAACTCTGATTTTTGTACCTTGAATTAATCTATGCCCTTAAAATCAGTCATATATTTACTGCACTGGCTGGTAGACCAGATAGGAGAGTGCTGAAGGGACTTAGATGAATCCAGCAGGTCAGAACAAAAGGCGTTATTTCTTTACCCAGCGTGTAATCAAACTGCAGATTTTTTTGCCTCCAAACATTTGTGGGTGCTAGAAGTTTACACTGGACAAATTCATAGAGAAAAGTGTATAGAAGACTATTGGAATGAAGAAGACTATTGCAATGATATTACTTTTAGATCAGTGTTGGCTTCTGGCTCTAATCAGGATAAAAACACCAGGTATGAAATCCTGGAAGGAAACTTCTGCAGAATGCCTGTGTATATTGCTTCAGCCCCCAACGCTGAATAGCATCTCATGGAACCTGAGATGCTGTCATTCTTTGTGGGAAATGTGGGTCATGTTTAACCAGGAGTCATGGTCCATAGGTGGGATTTCATCTCCTGTGCTGGGATGAAAAAGCAAACCACAGCTCCTGTGTGTCACTGAACAGCTGAGACGGGCACAAACTGTTGGCAGCCAAGTACAGAAACTCAAAAGCATTTTGGCAAAGTTGCAGACCATCTCTGTGTGTAGCTAATTTGCTGTCGGATGAGAGTTCCCTTAAATTTTTTGTGCTTTCCATCAAGAAGGATGGCAACAATGAAATTTAATGACTTCTGTCAGAGGTTTTATGCGTATGGGCAAGAAGTGGTGTATAACACTGTCACTATGGTCATTGTGCCGTTCGCTGCCTAAGAGTCACAATTACCAGCCACTGCCACAGGAGGTGACTGAATAATCCAAAGCACATCAAATGGAAGCAAAATTAATTATGTCAAATGGTAAAACAGAATTAGTCCAGACTGTAGGAGAATGGCTGAACTAAAAAAAAAAAAAAAAAGTGTCAGAACCTGCAGCTGAAAAGAAACTGTGGGACTGCAGAATAGACAGAGGCTGATACAAACCCCCTTCCTTCTCCCCAAAGCCTTGAACAAAATCTCATGAGCTTTACCCAGCTTTTTGTGCTGAGCTGGAGTAGACAGGAGTTGTGTGTACACGTACAGACAAACACACCCCACACTACAGATGGGCTGGCTCACTATATTCACATCTTAAAAAAAAAATTACTATTGCTTGTACATATTTACTACTTCTATAGCACAATCTGCCCCAGGATACCTCCTGGGAATATGCAGTGTAATACTTGGGACAAATCTGGAATAATAGTGACAAAATACCTGCTTAACAGCACAATAAAGTGAAGAGTTATGTAAAATTCATCCCTGTAGCTTCAGAAATTTTTCATGGCAAACTCACAGTAAGCTGCAGCAATCATTTCTTTTCCAACCATGAACAGGAATTTGGAAACAGCTTCAGAACACATTTGTTGTATTTAGCCAGTACTTTACGTCTATCAGGACTGATAAAAGGGTAAAAACCACCCTTCAAAACCACACAGGAAGAATATATATTTTGTCTTTTAGGTTCATGATGACATTTTATATGTGTATATATATACATGCACACATATATATTATGTATATATACATATGCATATATATAGAAAAAAAACAGAGCTAAGAGGTGCAGAATAAGAACTAGAGATGGTTATCTGTTCAAATACAGCCTCTTCTAACGTTGTTCATTGGCTTAGCCAAAACCTAAAATACATGTGATACTTCTCCTTTTGGGATTCTGATATTTACTGTATTTATGTTTCA